GACCGGAAAGTGCACAATTTCCTGGGCAAGTGCAGATACCTTCTGGCCAGGGAACACGTGGACGGCAAATACAGCCTGGAAGCGGATTACCGCAATTCTCACGATCCCGCGCACCCGAAACCCAGTCTCATCTTCAACGCTCTCAATCAAGAAGGCACTTACGATTCCATCACCATCGATCCCGATTATTCGGTGAGTTGATAATAAGGAACATATAGGAACACTTTGAGAAGCACTTATTCCGAATACACTGATCGAATTACGTGATGCTGGGTTCGTTTATTTTATCTTGAATTACGCTTCCAAAGTGCTTCCGCGACCGGACACGAATTGAAAGCTTTTCCCCGTTTTATTTACTCGTGACTTCGTGAGTACATATAAAAAAGAATAATCGTGGGAATGAATGAATGAACAGAACACTTTATTTGCCGCTTTTCAGCATTCACAAGGCACAACCAAGACTTCCGCATCCAAACCCCCTCCCCACCAAACCAAAATCCCCTCAAAGACATTCAATCACTTCAAAGCGGGAAAAAAAGCTCAAGTTGATGACAAAAAAAAAAGAGAACACAATCCACAAAATAAAACTGGACATCTGACATGTATGCATACACCCACCCATTTCCTGACATTGAAAACAAAGTAGCAGTAAAAGTTTATTTAAAGCACAAGGTCTTCAGCTTGCTTCTGTATGAGGTTTAGTTGAATGAACAAATTAGAGAGAATCTTTGATGAGAAATCATATAAGACCAACAGTTTATCTTGATCCTTAAAGATTTCAGAAAGTGTCTCTTCATTGAATTTCAGTACTTTTAAATCTTTCGTAAGCTGATTTCTATCCATATGAAATGCTGGACATATGAAGAGAAGGGGCTCTGGTGATGCACAAACTAATGTATTTATGCTGCAGGAGTTACACCACTTGGACACTTTTGAGAGTTGGATGAATTTTTTACTAAAGTGCCATGAATCATGGGACAAAAAGTACAATATTTACTCTATTATGGAAGTGACATCCATGAGAAAGTTCACATAAAAGTGGCATATGTTACCCCTGTATGAATGGTCAAAGTTCGACGTATTTCCCAATCTAATTGCAAATACAGTACTAACAAAACTATTTTTGCATCCAATATGATAACGACAGAATAGCAAAAATTCCAGTGAGGAAACTTTCACAGGTGGAAGTTAGTTTCAGGCACAAAAGAGAGAACCTGGGAGAAAATCACAGGCAAAAAAGGATGAAAGTAAATGATGAACAATGAAAAAAGTAAATTTAAAAAAATTTGTCTTCGGAAAATCGTGGTGACAGTATATTCGTACTCCTAAAGATATTCTTTGAAGCATTGGGAACACAATATGAGAATATAAAACTTATTTTTCTCAGCAATATTATGATTTATTTTATTTGTATCTAACATCAAAATTATTGTTAAGATTGCCAAGAATTACTGTTGAACCTTGCTAAGGGGAATCTCTCAAAATTTAAAACCTCCTTTTGTCAAATTTTCGTTTTTTCCCTGCCTTAAATCAGTAAAATTTATAATATAGGCCTACCTAACTTGAAAATGTTCCCTCTCTATAGCCCTTATTATAGCTGAAAATTTAAGAGGCCTTTTTATTCTTATTATGTTGACCCAGGAAGAAGAACACCAATAAAAATGTAACGGGACAATTTTCAAAATGAAGTGAGTGACACATTGGAAATATAGATATACCCTCTACTTCAAGTTCGGCATCTCATTGAACTTATTTATGCAGTAGTTCAACGTTTATATAATATCACGAATATTACTTTTTTCACGTCAGATACCTTTTTAAAATTCTTCCATTCTTCCTCAGCAAAAAATGCTGGTTTTCGAAATTCAAAAAGTTTTGTTTGTCTGTTGGAGTTTGACTCTAAGAGCTTGGATTGTAGCTATTCCATCTATAGTAGGACTGTAAAAAAAAAGGATTTCATGGGATAATATTGCATTTTATATCAGAAATTGTCTTGCAACTTCGGCTTTTTGGCATTTTCTCTCAATATAGGCTCTTCTGGCATTTCTCTCGACTCATCCAAATAATCAATTCCTTTTGTTTTATTATGTTTTGAAATGCATATAATCCTTCCGGTCTGAACCTACACGATGTAAGAGCAACATCAGAGCAAATCCATCGCAGCCAGCAGATTTCGGTACCTTAATCACGCACTTTTTTTTTTAATCTCACCCCTAAGTTGCCAATTCATTTCCGCAGGTGAAACTGAATGGACAATTGACAAACGTGCCTTTCCGTTCCGGAGATGTCTGGGTGACGAAGGAGACCCCCGTGACCCTGCAAGTGAACTGGGAGAAGGAAGGAGTGACGCTTTTGTGTGACACGCGATCAGATTTCTGTCGATTCCGTGTCACCGGCTGGCACCACGGCCGGGTTTCCGGGTTGCTGGGCTCCAACGACCGCGAACCTGTCACCGACATGCTCTCGCCTTCCGGGGAGGTAAATTGCGCTGAGGAAAAACAAAACTGCTGCGTCGCGGGTTCTCTCACAGCAAACATGTTTTTTACCTTATCCTAAAAAAATATATATATATAATCTTCAGTCGAATAAAGCTAGGTACTGCATATATGTGGACTCTCGCATCTACAACGTTTTTTTTTCTGGTCTCTCGAATTCCGTCGTATAGAAAATCTCCAAAACATGAAAAGAGAACCCCATACTAACGGACGGCGAAAATTATTTTCGGATTTTGTTTCTGATCCCTTGACTTTTGTTGCTGAGAACCTCTATAGCATTAAAAGAGAACAATATATGGACCAAAACTATTCTTTCTGCAAAAAAAAAAATCATTGTTGACAAAATCCTTGTAAAGAGCGTACACCTGTATATGATTTTGAAATTATTGATACGCAAATATGCCCTGTCGTTGACATGGGACGACTTAATTTATGCAAAAACAATCCAATTAGATAAATGCAAATAAGGAGTAAGAATAATGAATTTTGCGATGGAAAATGAAACGCAACAATCAACTAGAAAAATAGCAGAAAGGGATTTCTGAGAGTGAAAAATCTGGAAAGAAAACATCCTTCAACTTGATTAAAAATTCAAATCATTTATTAATTTTTCAAGCTTGGCTTGATCCATATTCTAGAATCCTGAAATAATGAACTAAGACGAGGAAAGAAAGATCCTAGTAAAATATTCACATGAGTGAAGAAGTTGGGATTTTGCACTCGGTTTCCATTTCCTTGTGCATCTTTTTTTCGAACTTATTGAATGAAAAATGAGCGCTAAAAAGAAAAGAAAAAATACCATCCAAAAATATTGTAGATCAAGTATTCTGTTAAAAAATATCTATATTTTCGTTACTTTTGAATCAGCCATTTATGGAAAGGAAAAGGTTATTTCATCGTAACTGAATGCATGAATCAAAATTAACTTTTTATTATAGTTGGTGACATAAGACCATTGCACTGTTGTAAAGTGTTTGGACATGAGGTGTAGAAATACTATTTTAAAATAAGGCGCATTTAAACTTGATTCCGATTCATTTTCTTAACCAAAATTCGAAAATTTTATATTAAATCAGAAAAAAAACTAATCGAAACGACGCGAAAACCTCATTAAGAAATTATTAAATGATCAAGAAAACTACAAAAAATTACAAAAATGGAGAATATTTAAGGGTATAAAATTGAGAAAATATTTTAAATATCCCATCATAAAATAGGCGAATTTTTGATTAGCTGCTTTTTATTCTTCATTTCTAAAAAAAAAATAAGCGCAGCGCTTTATTTAATTTTCTGCGGAAAATTGACCACGAAGCCCTAACCCGGAAAATTCTGGCTAATTTATTCCATCAGTTGATTGAGTCAATCAATGAACTCGCTGGCAAATGGAAAGTGAACGCTGATTGCAAGGATTCACCCCAACCCTTCTCCGGACCCGGTTTACCAGGATGTGGAAAAGCCTTCAGGGACAACGCTTCACCTTTCGGGTACGCGGTTTTCCTTTTTCAAAAAAAAAAGAAAAATCTCGTAATATATCCTGTCAACATTTTATGAATTACTTCCTGACGCTTTTCTTTCGATTTTGTTGTTGTTGTTGTTGATGCAGTGATTGCTTCAAGCGAGTGAACCCAGAACCCTTCAGAAAGGCTTGCATGGAATTGTCCGCCAGCAACGAGGAACAATTCTGCGATCTCGCGAATGCTTATCGCATGGCTTGTTTCGAGAAGGGCAAGGCATTGCCAGTCCTGAAGGATTGCAGTGAGTAAATAATATACACATTATCATTTGTCAAAAAAATTTTAGTAACGCCGGAAAATTCCGCAAGCGACCATAGGAAGTCTTCGAGCTAAATTTATTGCTGAATTTTCAGTTCCTTGCTGTGAGGAATTTAAAAGAAACATACTGTATATTTTGGAATAAAATTCAAGAATTTCGTTGGGCTATGACCGGGGTGTTTTCACACTACTTTAAAGTTGGTATAATTCAGTCCTTTTTTTTTTGGCAAATACACTTTTAATTTTCCCAACCCTTCTGGAGTGATACAAGCAAGAGTCAAAAATGGAATGATGAAAAACAGAGAGGAAATGAATCAGGAAAACTATCCCTCAAGGATCAGTGAGAGTTTTCGAATAATAGCCTTTGAGTTTCTCAAAATTTAGTCTTGATGTAAACCAAGGAGGTTCAAAAGCAGGCGTAAGAACCAGAGTTACACCCTGTTATCACAGAGATGCACAAGGACATGTGTTTGGAGAAAAACCAATTCTTGTTCTTTACAATTATAGGCAAGACAAATTAGAGTTTTGCTGTTTTAATTTGTGACACTCGCCTTTGTGCCAAATTTGTCAAATAATCTCGAAAATGCTGCGGGTCTTGTTCTCCTTCAGAAGATGACATTTGGATGAACTTTTTCATTGAAAACTCTGTTATACATACACATTTTTTAAAACACTGAAGATGAATTTATAATTGTCGAAATGTTCTCTGTTTTTAGAAAAATGCGATTTCGATGGAAGGAGGATCAAAGAAGGTACGGAGACTGAAGTGAGAACTTCAGCGACATCAGCAGACGTTGTTCTCGTGGTGAACCAGGCCGAATGCTTCGAAAACGTTTTGAATTTGGAAACTTTCGTGAAGGAACTTCGATCAAGTAGCAAAGATCTTGGTGTCACGTGAGTCCCATTAATTTTTTTCTTGTCCAATTCACGTGAATGCACTGAAACCCCAAAATAAGGACGATTCGACTTAAGGGCACTTGAAGATATAATGAATATGCCCGAAATCTTGACAATGTCTTATTGAGATACGGACACTTTTTCAAAATTTATAGAAAAATGGAAATTTTTCAATTCTCAACATTTTGATATCTTTGGAACAAATTGAGGTACAGTGCTTAACATTCAGAAAAAATAATAAATTCTACAATAAATTTACTAAAATTCATAATTGAGACAGGATAATTTTTGTTGCTGATAATGATATAGTCCATCATTTGTGCACAGTAAAGCAGGCTTTTTCTCGTACTTTGATTCTTGCGCTCTTTGATGCCAAAATATTACATTTTGTGTGATTTTCTCCTGCACGTTTATTTTATGTGCCAAAAGATCAAAGTTTGTGTGATTTTCTTCAACACAGTTATTTTCTATAATTTGAAGTTGAGAAGATAAACTTTTATTCAATTTTTGGAGGGTACATTCCTCAGTTTCGATAAACTGGAGAACCTATTAAATAAGTTCCCATCGAAGCATTTGGGAATACAGTGCGTGATTCGGCATGCGCATGCTCCGACATAGGGACAAGGTCCAAAGCCACCAATTACGTCCGCATCTCGGGGCCTTCTTGTATTTCTGCAAAAAGTTGTCAACATAACACTTTCCCATTTTCCTGATTCGAAGGCAGGCATCACATGCACTAAATCTTGCACGTCTTAAATGATTTTCCCCCTGCTTGATTCCTGAGTAATTATTATATTCATTGGACTTCGTATTTTTATCTGATGAGAGCTACTCGGAAATTTGACATGTAGAGATAGACATTTGAGTCTGCGAGGTTCACCTGTATAAAAAAAAATTTTCAGGATACCTGCCACAAAAATAAACAATAAAGTACAATTTGTCCCTCTATAAACAACAAACTCAAGAATCCAAATTCTTGGAAAACTTGTCCTCATACATCTTTGTGTGAACCGGGAAAAACTCTGGTTCACAAGCCCATTTACTTGAAACCTCCGAGGTTTACGTCATTGCCAAATTTCTGGAAATTCTAGAACTGTGATGTATTCTTGAAGGATAGTTTTCCTGCTTTCAACTTCTCTAAAAAAAACTCACTTCTCTAGGAGCTCTTGTACGCAACGCTTGAGCTATTTGCAGATTTTGAGTGTTTAAAAAATTAAAACAACCTTATAATAGGCTGAATTTTCACCCCGGTTGTAGCCAGACCAAATTCTTAGTTTCATTTACTGACATATTATTTATTCTACTTTTCTAGATCATACCTAAGAATACCCATGAGAAGATCATCAAAAAACACTGTAATTTATTTCTCCACGTATGTTTCATGTCTATACATTTCCTTTTAAATGAGTTGATGAGATGCTGGACTTGGAGACAAGGGTTCATTTGCCCAATTAGTCTTTCATTTCCTTTCAAAACACATAGAATTACATGTTCATTATTTTCTCTCTATGTGTCGATAGAATAAAACTGAAAGGCATCCAGATGATTTGATTTATATGTTGAAGCCTTTTGAGTTTGGGAGGCTTTTACAGCATTATTTCAAAGGCAACTCAGATATGGACTTGAAAGTTCATACTGTGAAATATTTTACTTTAGGAGACTTGAGTCATAAAGGTTCAATTTAAAATATTTCCCAAGCTTTTCAAACTATCGTATTTTCTCTTTGCTTGTCGCATGATATGAGCTTTTAAATGAGTTGGGAACAAATATTTTTGGTACAATCTCAAACTTTTTAAAAGGAAAAAGGGTTTGAAACAAGGCCATATTGACGCAGTTTCGTGTTCTTGGGATTCTTTGAAATAATGAAACTTTTTGGAATTGATTATACGTATGTATATATAGGGTCGATATTATCAAGTTGAGAAGGAACTTCTTCTGCGGGGAATCACGTTGCACACCCTTTCCGCTCAAGATATCGAAGTGAAGAGCGGCCAGAAGAAACTCAAGAAACAAGTCATCGGTGAGTCCATGTCCTAATCTGAGTATTTTTTTTTTACCTCCTTACATTTATTCTGTCGAGTCT